TAAGAAGTTCTATTCGTAGATAAATGAATTTCATAACTTCCTTTGCTTAATTCTACACTATAATTCCTTATATTGTATCTGGAATGATTAGTTGGTTTCGATATAATGAACTTTTTACTTTGACTTAATGATCTCTTGGTTCTAACGTATTGAATATTTACTTTCGATGTAATGAACTCTCGGTTTCGATGTAATAAACTCTTGATTTCGATGTAATGAACTCTTGGTTTTGATGTAATGAACTCTTGATTTCGATGTAATGAACTCTTGGTTTCGATGTAATGAACTCTTGGTTTTGATNATGCCTAACTCTTGGTTTCGACATGCCTAACTCTTGGTTTCGACATGCCTAACTCTTGGTTTCGACATGCCTAACTCTTGGTTTCGACATGCCTAACTCTTGGTTTCGACATGCCTAACTCTTGGTTTCGACATGCCTAACTCTTGGTTTCGACATGCCTAACTCTTGGTTTCGACATGCCTAACTCTTGGTTTCGACATGCCTAACTCTTGGTTTCGACATGCCTAACTCTTGGTTTCGACATGCCTAACTCTTGGTTTCGACATGCCTAACTCTTGGTTTCGACATGCCTAACTCTTGGTTTCGACATGCCTAACTCTTGGTTTCGACATGCCTAACTCTTGGTTTCGACATGCCTAACTCTTGGTTTCGACATGCCTAACTCTTGGTTTCGACAAATTTACCTCTTGGTTTCGGCTTCTACAACTTACTGTTTCGACCTATCCGCTTACGATGAACCTTCAAGACAGGGCAATATACCACACCGCATCCATGACAAACTGCTGCAATTTATTTATGGAAAAAATTGACATGCGACAAAATTATATGTCCATCTGGTTATTTCCATTAGCCAGAAATTAAAGGCGACATATGTGTCCAAATGGACGAATGTGCTTCATTCATAAATAAAAAAATGCTATTTTGAAAAGCGACGTATATGTACAGCTAAAAGCTGAAGGTTAAGTTTTGGTTCCGGCGTATTCAACTCGTCGGATGTCTTACATTCTTCTCTTGAACACGTTGCTCGCTCCTTGGAGGTTATATTGTCAGCATTACATCTAAAAAAATAACTTCCATGAATAGATTTTTTAATGTTTATGCATTTTTAACGGTATTTGGAACACAAATTTAGGAGACCTCGCCGTAAAATGATTAAACAATGACTTCATTTGCACCACGTATGTTAACATCCTTTTTCCGATTCACTCAGTAGAGCTTTTCGCTCTTCTCACAGCACTGCCCATGGCAGTGGCAGCTTCCATTGCCTTGCCACCGCCCCTGCCATGGCAGCGGCAGGTCTCCCTAATGAAGCCATCGCGGCGCTCAGACGTTAATCCTGCAACTCTGTAGGGCAGGCGACAGTGATCGCTCCCCGTGGTGCTGTTGGTTTATGTAACAAGTCACAACCTGCTAATGAGATGTAACAATGAAGGAGGTGATGAAGGAGGTGATGAAGGAGGTGATGAAGGAGGTGATGAAGGAGGTGATGAAGGAGGTGATGAAGGAGGTGATGAAGGAGGAGATGAAGGAGGTGATGAAGGAGGTGATGAAGGAGGTGATGAAGGAGGTGATGAAGGAGGTGATGAAGGAGGTGATGAAAAACTCAAGCTTCACTTACAATAAATAAGTCGTCTTCTCCTCTTCCTATCGCGAGCAGCCACTTTAATTGTCACTTTACGGCCCATATGCAAAAATGATATGTAAGAATAAAATTTGTAAATTTGAATTGCGAATCACTGAATTTATTTTGATATTAACTTTGGTACATGTAATTGTTGAAGAGCTCCCGAATACGAACCGACGCAGTAGTTACATGGGTTATATTTTGATCCCTGCATCTCTACCACAGAACATATCGTTAATTTTGGCCCCATTTTTGCTCTCGAAGACCTGCAGTAAAATAAATATTTCCAGACGATGATGCACGAGAAATTGTCACCCCTACCTCCACCGTAATTAGAAATTAACTTCTGCAAGCAGTTTTTTGCTTGTTCTCAATTAATGTGGCAAACGCTTTTTCACACCCAATGTTTTTGGAAAAAGTAAATTCCAGACATGAAAGTTAGTTTTTTCAATAGAACATTTTTATCCATGTTAACCTCCATCACAGTTATATTTTGATGTTGTAGCGCATCCACTACGGTTAAAAATCGTTAATGTTTCATGTGATCCATAGAGCCTGTATAAAGAAACAGAAATATCGCTGCGTGCGCTTTGATTAATTCCCAAATTATTTTACTAATGTTCGTATATAATTCATTTGATGTCAAGTGAAGACATTTATCGAGCTTTTTCGAATTACTGTCACAATTAATAAAATAATGAGCTAAAAATTACAGTTTGTAAGGACCTTGGCCTTATATTGTCTTGACACTTTTCCCTGTAGGTAGCGGCGACATTTCAAGAGTCGCTCGATAATTGCTCTTCCACACTTGACCTGAAATGCTTTATTGCTTGATAAGAACTATGCATTGACCTCATTGCTGAGAGGTGTGAGTACTGCAGCTCTATGAGTACTGCAGCTCTATGAGTACTGCAGCTAGCAGCTCTATGAGTACTACAGCTCTATGAGTACTACAGCTCTATGAGTACTGCAGCTCTATGAGTAATATAGCTCGCATGTGTCAAGTGGTCGTCTGACATCACCAGTTCAATTACGTAGGCACTCGAGGCTACGCTTCTTACTTGCAACTATATAATAATGATAAATGTTATCGAACTGTTCAAGGTCTGCACAAATATATTTGTAACGAATTAGTTTAATTTTCATATCTGAGTGTTCGTTAGCAAGAAAACTTAGACAAATGCGATAGACGAAAAAATAAAACAGTTTTAAGCAGAGGCAGGAATGAAGTCAAATGGAATCTTCCCTGCGAAAACAGCGTAAATTTGAAGCACGCCTCACAGAGCGACTCTGAACGTTCCTCATCATCATAAATAGCACATATACTATTTTTCTTCGTCACTCTCTAGGAATTGAATTATTTCGACAGAACCACTCCCAACGTCACGGCTGCAACACTATTCTGCCTCGAAAGACAGTCTCGTTACTTGCACTTTACTTGAAACTAGTAAAATGCTAAATTAATTGACTAAATTAATGTTTTCCAATGTCTTTCGTGAAGTCGACTATCTTTTTCAATGAAATTTGCCTGCATAGCTGATGTTATAGTGTCTAATGTTTTACCAACTCAAAAAAATACAAAATACTAAAAATATAACTCATAATATTTATGAGATATATTATTTCAACGTAAGAGTTTACACGAAGTGCTGCAAATAACTACAAATTGGCACACGTGTTTTGTGCGTCGTAAGAATCTAATACTTTAATGGAATTATCTAATCTAAAATCTGTCGTATGTCTCATCTTATAACTATCTAATGCTAGTACTGTTGATTAAAACTCCAGTAAATTCTCATGGGCCAATTTATCATCTTTGAATGAGTAACCTGCTTATCGCGTCACCATAAGTTTGGTATAACACAAGACGGTGTCGCTAGCATCGCATTACTACAACCGCTCTATACGGATCATCCGATGTCATAGTTTGCTAGTTCAATTAAGGGCCGGCGACTATGATGTGCAATTCACTTCTGTTTTCGTATGTTTAAAAATACTCATAAATTTATGAGTGTGATGAGTTTTATCCGTGTACCTACCGGTTGCACGTGTTAATTCATCACACAATTTAGAAGAGTCAAAAAGTGTGCCTTTGCGAATGAAGTTGATGCGAGAACTTGAGCAAACGTTACGAGCGTTTACAAGTTGCTGCAGAGTAACTGGCACTGTCAAGATTCCATTCAATTAGTTATTTTTATTTTTCTCTCAATGCATCTGTCTCGCTCTATAGTTTCGAACTCAACCTAACTTTCTGCTCCATTGCAATGATAATGAGATTGGTTTTATTTGAGTCTACTGCAATGTTGCAAAAATGATTCCATAAAATTAAATGAATATATACGAAATGTTAACCGCAAAACAGTCATGGAATATAATTTAATAATTAGTATATGACTGTTACGTCAATGTTTCTATTGAAGGAGGTGATGAAGGAGGTGATGAAGGAGGTGATGAAGGAGGTGATGAGGGAGGTGATGAGTGCACATCACCTCAGTTGGGACGAGCGCTGCACTGACACGAGGGACGCTGCCTTCCTGTTGGTGTACTCGTACCTACGAACAAGATTACATGCAGTACAATAAATGTAATGGCTTTGTGTGCTCCAAGAAGGGAAGTACAACATAACGTTGTAGCGACTTCTATCATCTTGTCTATAAATATAAATATATAGATTAAATTCGGTTAATGCTTCACAAGGGATTCGGATACTGAGGATACTAAGGATATCGTGCAGTACAACTATCGTGACATTGACATTACGATGTCCCCCAAACCCTACAGGGCAATGTTTGCACTCATTTGGAATACAATAAATAATATTGCTCTGAGGCCAGCAGGTATAAGAGTATTATAACCTATATCGCTGTGCCGTACAATAAACAATATTGCTGTGATCGCCACGTAGGTGTGAAGCTGGTGAGTCGAGCAGCTCAAGAGGCCGCCACTTGAGGCGCGTATAAAGACGGCGCGCTGGCGGGGCAGTGAGGCACACAGATGAGAGCCTCCTAGACCTGCGTTGTGTCCTCAGCCAAAATAGTTCCTAGGAGTACTCCCTTCACTCTAATACCTAGCCGTAGTTTGTAATATGTTTTATGATTATTTGTTATTTATTTACTAATATAAATTTGAGCAATGAGGCGGTGTATTGGAACTTTGAACTTCAATTCTGCAAATTCTTAAGAATAGAAGTTGTGTTCATAATTATTGTATCATTAGCGTGAGGATTTTTTGAACTAAGCCAACCAACATTTCACGAGACCGACGTGAACGTCTCTTGCCCAAGATCATACCAAAATTTAGCATATTTTTATACAAGTGTGTTTCAGTAAAAACTTTATTTTTTCTTCAGATTCACACCCTGGAATTTATTCCGTGTAAACAGAGCCACAAATTGTTTATAAGTTATTCATCACGCAAGTTATATTATTCAACAACATGAAGATGACCAAGCCTCTCCTCGTCCTCCTGAGCCTCGCCGTCGTCCTGCACGTCGCCGTCGCCCAGCCCGTGGACGTCGTCCAGGACGAGGCGCCCCTGCAGGACGCCTTGCTCCAGGACGAGGCGCCCCTGCAGGACGCCTTGCTCCAGGAGCTGCAGGAGTTGGTTCTTGCGGACGCGGAGTTGCAAGATCAACTCGGGGCGCTGGACGCGGAGCGTGACATGATCGTGACCGTGCCGATACCCAAGTGGCTGTGTGATGTGAGTCAAGCAGAATATTGAACACGACCATACCATTTACTGCATATTATGAGATGTACATACATATATTAAGAGTAATATACCTACCGGAGTTGTCTGATACCATCTGCAATAATTGAACAGCAACAGGATGCAAATCAGTGAACTTTTTCGGTTTCAAACATCGACGAAAGTTTAATGTCAATTCAGAACAATTTTTGAAGCAATTGGGCAGAAGGAGCTTAATCTGAAATTTTTTGAAGCAATTATTATTATCGGTAGAATTTCGATGATGAAGTTGTGAATGTTGCATAAATGTTGTCTTTCTTTTCAGGTCCTGAAACCTGTCATTCCGCTGAAAATAACATGCACTGATGCGATCACAGCTCAGTAAACCAGCGTTCCAAGCAGGATGGCACAAGATAACCGCAACTCTGGATACGTTTGTCGGAAAAATAAACATTGAAACAAACTGCGCAGTTACTTCCTTTCATGAATCTTCCAAATAGCTCTCGTATACTATAGTTTGAGCCTCCATTTTCTGAAAATTGTGTAGTTCCTTGCCTTAAAACACTGGGTTGTATAGATTGTTAGGGTAAGGATAAAAGCTTTATGATTAATGTCATCATAATTTATAAACGGCTGATGCCAGCGTTGATATAGATAATAAGGCATACATGCCACTGCTTGCATCAACACGCGGCCGGTCACTTAATTCTTAATCGCCCTGCCTCGCGTTGGCCAAAAACGTCGCACGGTTCACATGCCTTACAACGAAGGACGCACCTCGCAAGAATACGTGTCGAGATGATTTTTATTGAGCTTTAGCTGATGTCGGGTCAATCAAATTTACTCAGTGATAGTTTAATAGAAATCAGTTCCTCAGTTCGTGTAAAGCGGTCACACTTCGCAATGATGGCAAGATTTGTGTTTGTTTTACAAAGTCTGGTCTTTGGTCTGTCTTATAAAGTATTTACTAGATTGATAATGCCACTTCAGCAGGCCGCTCTACAGCAGGCATGGAAATGCTAAAACTGTGATGTTAAGAGTTGACTTTTTTAAGTAATAGCAAAAATTTTTTCTGATAAAGTTTCCGTCCCGCAACATATATAAGAAAAATTCTGTGACTAAATGCCTGATAGGTAAACGTTGATAATTTTTATTCGTCCAAATCTATCGTCTAAAAAATCAACGCTTGGAAAGAAAACTCAAAAAAGTTTAAATTATCTTCAATCTCGCCACTTCATGATTAGGCATAGAAGCCCGCAAGTTGCAAGCTCCCTGCGTGACATTTCCCATCAATTTTATCCTAATATTTCCTTCCAAAGATATTTCCCGTGCTTATATTTAGCATTCGTGATAAGTGTTGCAAACGTAGCAGTCCCAGGCTACGGGGACTATGATATATAACTTTAGCGCCAATGATGCCCTCAGTTGGGCCAGCTGATGCCCTCAGTTGGGCCAGCTGATGCCCTCAGTTGGGCCAGCTGATGCTCTCAGTTGGGCCAGCTGATGCCCTCAGTTGGGCCAACTGATGCCCTCAGTTGGGCCAACTGATGCTCTCAGTTGGGCCAGCTGATGCCCTCAGTTGGGTCAGCTGAGGCCCTCAGTTGGGACAGCTGATGCCCTCAGTGGGACAGCTGATGCCCTCAGTGGGGCCAGCTGATGCCCTCAGTTGGGCCAGCTGATGCCCTCAGTTGGGTCAGCTGAGGCCCTCAGTTGGGCCAGCTGAGGCTCTCAGTTAAGATGCCCCCCCACCCCCCCAGGAGGAGCTGGAGGCCGTGGTTGGGGCCCTGGTGGGGGTGCTGGGGGCCCAGCGGGGCCTGCTGGAGTACCTGCCCGCCATGGGGCACCTGCCCCGCCTCGTGGAGCTCCTGAGGGCCTCCCCCAGCAGCGCTGCCATCAGGGCGGCCCTCCTCACCCTCCACCAGACGACCTTCTCGCAGGTCTGGTCACTAGTTACAATGGTTACTAGTTACAATGGTCACTATTTACTACTAGTTACAATGGTCTTTAATTACTACTAGTCACTAGTTACAATTGTCACTAGAGCTAGGTTTTGCCTCTTAAAATCTAAGAATTTTAATTTAATTTAATTTTAAAATCTAAGAAAATTAAAAATTAGACTTGGATTCTAAAATACATGAATCATATTCATCAGAAACGGAAGCTAACATTCAAAATAATTTTCTAATGTAAATGCGGTCAGCTGAATGCGGTGGATGCGCAAGCGTATTTCCAGTGCGATAACAGCCCTTGTGTGTAGGTGTGCTGTGCAGAGCTGCAGACCACGCCTGTGCTGTCTGCTGTGATGTCTGCACTGCAGACGCGGCCTGATCTCATCGCTGTGTCTGTGGAGACTCTGCACAACCTGTTTCTGCACACTCTGCAGCCTGCTGCTCTGCACCAGCAGGCTCTGCAGGTCCAGAGATTGTCCTTTTGTGACCAGGACAGATTTTTTATTTCAAATTTTTTATTAAAATGCATTTCATGCTATCAAATAAATTTTCATATAAATTATTCAATTTTATTTCAACTTTTTTATTAAAATACATTTTCCTGTCATGTGGATACATTTTTTATTTTAAACTTTTTATTAAAATGCATTTCATGTGAAAAATAAATTTTTCATGTAAATTATCCAAAATAGGTATGTTTTTTGGTATATGAAATATCTAAATTATTTCTTTATAGAAAATTAGCGGACAAAAAACACAAATATTATTTGAAACACGAACCTTGCGTAATGATCAATGATCAAGTTAACCATGCTTTTCAAGGAACCATGAGTTTGCTGAAAATTAAATTGCACTTTATTGCCCTGGGATTCCGTTGATTAAAACTTCAGTTATCATGGATAAATCTCGACTTTTATTTAAGTAAAGAGCACTTAAAAGCAATACGTTTAAAAATACAAAAACTAGCACGATAGACATTACACTGCTTGATGAAGCGTTTGTAGCACAGCCACAAGAACTAATGTTGTGGCACAAGATCGCTAGTGGAGCAACGGAGCGAGGTTAGTTAAGACTAGAACCTTAACTAACCTTAGGTTAGTTAAGGCTAGAACCTTAACTAACCTTAGGTTAGTTAAGACTAGAGCCTTAACTAACCTCAGGTTAGTTAAGGCTAGAACTGTAGGGCTGGCGGGACACGAATGACTACCTGACTCACAGCCGCTCAGACCTGACTTTGCAGTACGTAGCCACCGCTGAAGTTGAGGTCCGACATCAACGTTACTAAGGCGGCTACTCTAGATGTGGCTTCTGGTATGCACATGAGATGAAAAATGAACGTGGCTAATAGTGAAATATGTCCACTCCACCGTTCACAACATTAACTCTGCACTCTGCTGATATTGTAACTCTGCACAGGTGGGGCTGGTGCAGAGTCTGCTGCAGCTGCTGCAGAGCTCGTCGCTGCCCGTCACTAACCTCGCCGCCACCAAGGCTCAAATTGTCGCCTGCATCAAGACATTGTCCGCGTCACCCCTCTACGGCACACAGGTGACCTCCCTACCTCTACAGGTGACCTGATGACCTGACCCCATAACCCCTTTCTATAGGTGATCCCCGAACCTCTCTCTACTGCTGACCTGACCCCTCCTAAACCTTTCTCTACAGGTGACCTGACTTCGTAGCCTCCCTTGTTTATGAGGCCGATAACGAGCAAAAAACACAAGTTGAAAATTGAGTCAAGTTGAGCAAAATTGTAGAAATTTTCAAGGTACCCCTAACCCCCCTCTACTGGTGATCCCGTTAACCCCCTTTGTAGTTGAACCTCCCTCTCTATGACCCCTTGTTTATGAGGTCGATTACTTCTGACTGAGGTTATCCCGGATCAGAATGAGAGGTGATCCTGGATCGCCTGGTCATCCAGAATCAGAATGGGATCGTCATATGATTATATTCTGGCTTTATTGAATTAAGTAAGGCTTCTATCCTAGCGAAAATTAGATGCGGGACCGACTCTGTATCAGGTGCCGCCCAGGATTCGGGGAGCGCTTAGATCAGCCGCTCATGTCCGCTTCGGCTCAGGGTTTGAAGGACAGCCTGCCGGCTCGGCAAGACACACTTGTCATACTCTCATGACACACTTGTCATACTCTCAGGACACACTTGTCATACTCTCAGGACACACTTGTCATACTCTCAGGACACACTTGTCATACTCTCAGGACACACTTGTCATACTCTCAGNACCTCCTAGCCTCCCCACGTACCCTTCACGTACCTCCTAGCCTCCCCACGTACCCTTCACGTACCTCCTAGCCTCCCCACGTACCCTTCACGTACCTCCTAGCCTCCCCACGTACCCTTCACGTACCTCCTAGCCTCCCCACGTACCCTTCACGTACCTCCTAGCCTCCCCACGTACCCTTCACGTACCTCCTAGCCTCCCCACGTACCCTTCACGTACCTCCTAGCCTCCCCACGTACCCTTCACGTACCTCCTAGCCTCCCCACGTACCCTTCACGTACCTCCTAGCCTCCCCACGTACCCTTCACGTACCTCCTAGCCTCCCCACGTACCCTTCACGTACCTCCTAGCCTCCCCACGTACCCTTCACGTACCTCCTAGCCTCCCCACGTACCCTTCACGTACCTCCTAGCCTCCCCACGTACCCTTCACGTACCTCCTAGCCTCCCCACGTACCCTTCACGTACCTCCTAGCCTCCCCACGTACCCTTCACGTACCTCCTAGCCTCCCCACGTACCCTTCACGTACCTCCTAGCCTCCCCACGTACCCTTCACGTACCTCCTAGCCTCCCCACGTACCCTTCACGTGCCTCCTAGCCTCCCCACGTACCCTTCACGTACCTCCTACCCTCCCCACGTACCCTTCACGTACCTCCTAGCCTCCATATGGGCACGGTCGTCTTTATTATTATTTTATTTTGTTCTTTTAAAATCATTCAATGTTCTCGGTTATCATTTTGTCTTTATTATCATTTCGTATCAGTGCACAAAAGTATTAATGATCATATGGATTCATTTCATACGGAGTGCTGGATTCATTCAGTTTTTGAATTTTTGTTGTATTTATACGTTATTAAGCTTTTCATTACAGAAAAAAGTATATGGAATTTAATTACATTATTTGTTTTCAACTTTTTTTGTATTAATGATGTATTAGGGACGGATCTATTTAAATATTCCTTGTATATTCCATAGGAGTTTGTATGGCCATACAGATGTATATTCCACACAGGTGTGTCTAGCGCCTGTATTTCCATTACTCGTATAATGTATTAGGTTCGTTACTATGTGTTACTTCTGTTTACTCTGTATTTCTGCCCTCGTATTGCTCTGTATTGTATACATCATACAATGACCTTGTATAATATAATTTTGTATGAACTTCTCGTTCTGCTGAGACACATTTAAATGTTTCTTATATATTAATAGTTAACATTAAAAAAACTTATTTCTTATAAAAAAAAACTATTATTTCACGTGTTTCTACAGTAAGAGAAATAAGTGTGTCGTTTTGACCCACAAATGCGCTACGTGTGTCAAAAAGTGCATCGAGATTTAAACGCGGTTGACTACTCTAAGTGAGTCATCCAGACCCACTTATTATCTCGGGAAATATAAGAATATTAGTAAGAAACAATCAAATGTTGATGATAAATGATACTCTTGTTACGTATTATCATTAATCATTATGTTTTTTATGTGTATTATTGGCCATTACATAAACTTATTGTTCTCTTTTGTTATAAGTTAAATATGTAAATAAATATTTACATATTTATGTAAATAAACTGCCTTTGCTATGGTAGTGGAGGCTAAAATACAAAGTATATTAATAATAATTAATATACAAAGTATGTTAAACTTTGTATAAAACATTATGCAAGTAAAACTTCTTCCACTCAACTTAAGTTGAACGAATTTTGCTATCCTTTTCTATGGTGATTGGCAGAGGCTTGGTAACGTGGCCTCAAACATGGGGATTGGTGATTGGCTGAGGCTTGATAACGTGGCCTCAAACATGGTGATTGGTGATTGGCAGAGGCTTGATAACGTGGCCTCAAACATGGGGATTGGCAGAGGCTTGATAACGTGGCCTCAAACATGGGGATTGGCAGAGGCTTGATAACGTGGCCTCAAACATGGTGATTGGCCGAGGCTTGATAACGTGGCCTCAAACATGGTGATTGGTGATTGGCCGAGGCTTGATAACGTGGCCTCAAACATGGTGATTGGTGATTGGCCGAGGCTTGATAACGTGGCCTCAAACATGGTGATTGGTGATTGGCCGAGGCTTGATAACGTGGCCTCAAACATGGTGATTGGTGATTGGCCGAGGCTTGATAACGTGGCCTCAAACATGGTGATTGGTGATTGGCCGAGGCTTGATAACGTGGCCTCAAACATGGTGATTGGTGATTGGCCGAGGCTTGATAACGTGGCCTCAAACATGGTGATTGGTGATTGGCCGAGGCTTGATAACGTGGCCTCAAACATGGTGATTGGTGATTGGCCGAGGCTTGATAACGTGGCCTCAAACATGGTGATTGGTGATTGGCCGAGGCTTGATAACGTGGCCTCAAACATGGTGATTGGTGATTGGTAAGGCATTGCGACGAAGCTTCAACATGATGAAATGTGATGATAACTCGCATCACAGCTAGCAGGAGGTTCAACACACAAGTCAAAAGCTAGAGTAAAAAAATCGCAGATTTTGGAATTTTCTATTTCACGTAAAAAAATAATACACAGTAGGAAATATGGAAAAAGTTCTTAACATTCGCACTTACTTGATTTACATCAATACGCCAAAATTATAAACCTCTCGAATAAATTTTGTGCAACTTTTACGAACATTAAGAATAAATAGTTAAAATTTACATAAAAACCTACATAAGCAATAACTAATTAAAAACGCAGTTAATTCAAGGTACAGCACGACTAGAAATTCAAACTAAAATTAAAGAGTTCAGGAAATCAAATTTTCTGATTTTCAAAAAGGAAAAATTTTATTGATATAATCCATGAACCAACTGATTGTACCAATCACTATAAAAAAAGATAATTTTATTCATACAATCCACGAACCAATGAATCATCACAATCAACTTTAAAAAAAGGGAAAAGCCAATAACAATTTGTCCTAGAACGCCCAACGTAAACATCACGACATGTAAAACATCGCCTGCTACGCTGGACTCGCCGTCCATTCCAAACAAACGAATTAAACGAATTAATCTCTCTTCTAATTATTTAACCCTCTACCTCCTGACACGAGTACTTCCCAAAAAGGATCACGCGCCTACCTCCCATAAAGGATACGTTCTAGTGAGCGCAAAGTGACTTGCACTGATGGTTGCCGCCACGTACGACAACTTTAAAATGTCCTCTGTTGCGTACAAACGTCCTCAGGTTGCTACACTCAATATTTTACGTATAATTTAAGTTGAAAGTTATGTTCTCGGAGAGTGACATACGGCGGTAGAGGGTTAACTTTAAAGTTATGTTCCCGGACAAGTGATTGTCACAATTACCATCAAAAAGGAAAATTTTATTTATACAATCCACGAACCAAGTGATTGTCACAATTACCATCAAAAAGGAAAATTCTATTTATACAATCCACGAACCAAGTGATTGTCACAATCACCATGAAAAAGATCATTTATATAATCCACTCATACGCTGTCAACAGCAATTCCTCGCAAGGCAAAATCTCCTCTCGCTGCAAGTTACTAATCAACTTCCGGATTTTTGCGTCTAATTGCGCACCAAATCGCTGAGCCTGCTCTAAGACATGCGACACTAGCATTACTCGTAAGTCTACGTGAGTCGCAAACTGATGAACTAACGTATGCTGAATTAATGCAGCCACTGCGCTGTTAGGAATTGAATTGATTCGTCGAATAATTAAAAGAAAAATTCTGAATTGATTTAACTAACATCTGTAAAAATTATGTAGCCACTGCACAGTTGAAGAGCTGAAGAAATCCCCGAGCGATTTTTTTTTTCGGTGGTGAAGCATTGTAGTTGTAGCAAACTGAAAGTATTATCTAAAAGCCTTTCACTTGGCAGGTTTAATATTATAATTATATTCAGTTCCTTAGCACTCCTGACGTGACTTCCGAATTGAATTTTAATTTAATGCCATAAATTTTATCAATCGTAAGTTCATTCATGCTTATACGAGCACAAGCAGCTGTTTCGTAGCTTAATACGTATTTCTTGCATAATGACTCGAAATAATAGTCCTACTTGCGCCTGTTTCGTGTCCAAGCAACGAGTCTATCCCTGATTCTCGCAGTTTACAGTCTATTATACACACTAACGCTACACAGTCTGCTCCTCGCCCTCACGGAACGAAGTATATTGCTAATCATCTCTGAGTAAACACACAGGTGGTCGGCATCTGTGCATACTTACCGGCTACATCTTTACTTCATCTCTTCAAGATGGTTTATACCAACTTCACTTCTCTTTATCCCATTCAAGCCGTCTCTATGAGTCATTTGAGAACTACGGAGCGTTCGGAGACTGGCGGCAACTTCCATGTGGGCCTTGGAGACGTTGGACCACTTAGGTAATGTAGCTGATGTCTGGTGATGTCAATTTGCTCTTCGGTATTTTGGTCCTAGCACATGGAACGTTCTGTCTGCGCGTAAGTACCGCTACTAGCTACAGCGCCCAAGGGATCGGGGGACCAGGGGCGGGATTATCAAAACATCGCTACGTACACGTAGCCACTTCTATTAGGCGTAAGTGCTTCTAGGAAGAAGTAACTCAGCTATCTGCGTAACCGAACTGATTGGTCATTCATGGAGATGAGTTGAGCGAAATAATTCGCAGTGTTCGCAAAAGCTTATTCATAGTGCCTTATCTCTCCATTCTAGGGTAGAACCTCTACTTGTGCATGTATAATTCCAAGAAAATTGGAAGTCCTATCTCCATATATTTGTATTTAATACTATACATCCCGATGCCTTATAGCAAAACCTACCTCACCGTTTTCCGGATTCTCAATGCTTTTTACCCTAACAAATTTTTTATGCGTATCTGACTCTGAAATGCGTGCCGCCTAGGACTCGGGCAACACGTAAAACAGCTTTTCTATGTCCTCTTGATTAGGAATAATATATGAATAATCTATGAATAGAATAGTATATGAGGGTAGGAGGAGAGAATTCAAATTTAGGTGGAGGAGCTAGAGCCGTTTAGTACGCGTGCGCGATACCGGCGGGTATATAAGAGCAGAGCAGTCGAGAGCGGGGAGGCCAGTATAGGAAGCGCAGTCAGAATCAGAGTTCAGTGCGGAAGGTTGAGGCATCCGGCCGTAGTGGTGTGACCAAGCTGATGGTCGGTGCAGTAATTCGAGGACTAGCTACCACAGTATAGATTTTTTCGCTTGTTCCCCCCAGAAGAGACTTATTTCCTATTCGTGTTCAGCGACGAACGTCCTGCCCAGAAAAGACTTATTTCCTATTCGTGTTCAGCGACGAACGTCCTGCACAGAAGACCTATTTCCTATTCGTGTTCAGCGACGAACGTCCTGCACAGAAGACCTATTTCCTATTCGTGTTCAGCGACGAACGTCCTGCACAGGAAGGACTTATTTCATCCTCGTGTTTTCGACGACTGCCGAAGCCACGATCGCGAAGAAGAATTCACGTAGCATCCCCGACTCTGCGAAGTGTACTGCAACCAACGGCAACAGCCAGACCGCCCTCAGCTTCGCCTTGGACTCTATCGTCTCCACGAGCCCGAGTGATGTACCACTGTGAAAATTGAGATACTATAGCACTTCCGTGTAGCCACCTTTGTTTAGTCTCGCTGCGTTAGTCTAAATTAGCAATTCCGGGCCTGTAGTAATTGTGTCTAGCGCTTTTGTCTCCGGCCCAGCTCGGTATAGGATAGGATTTTCTTTCTGCAAGTAGGCCTGTGTGCTCGTCATTTCACCGTACCCAGTTCTGTGTAGGATATAGCTCCCATTTTAGGATATGAAGTGATATAATTATTTGTGTCATTCTCCTTGTCAAGTCGTAGCTGCCAGTGTGAGAACCCTTCGTGTCCTGATACCCTCGTGCGAAACCTGACAGTTAAGTTAATTAAGAACTCTACCGAAGATCGAAGGAAAAAGTTCATTCGGGTGATGGATAAAACGACCATAGGCTTTGAAACATACAGTTTGAAAGTAATAAATATAAATACAGATCTTCGCAACCACTTATATCTACATCAATCATAGTTCAATCACAACGTAGAAATTACCGTAGTCTAATCACTCTTCCGCTCAGGGTTGAAGAGCAGCTTGCAAGCTCGGTATTGCTCGGCTTGGCCAACCCTTTTCTCGACTTGGCCAAATTCGTTAATAATAATCAGTTTTTCAAGTGTAAGTGAAAGAATTGAAAATCATAGACATCGTCATTTGAGCTGAGCTGAGTAATCAAGTCGATAAAATATGAAATATTAAAACTATATACTAACTTTCACCATATTAATTGACCCTAAACTTAATACTCTAGAAAAATTGTATAGTCGAACATTTAGAGGCAGTGAAGTTATATGTTAACTACAGGGTGGGGCAGAACCGTTTGAGCAGTTTTCAGGCGAAATAAAAAAGTAATGGAGGTACATAGAGAAGAAAATTTATTTTCCTCGAGGTTAAAATCCTGCTGTAGCCCCATCCTGCTGGAACCACACGTCTCTCAATGCTTCATTTTAAACAATGTTTTTTCATCCTGGTCTGCAAGAAATTTTGCAACATTGCAGCATAGCATTCGGAATTCACTGTCACGGTTACTCCCTCCTCCTCAAAGAAGTATGGGCCTATCACAGCAAATTGTGAGATGGCACACCAGACCGTTGGTTTGGGAGAATGTAGTGGTCTTTGATGAATAATTTGTGGGTTTTCTTCTACCCAGTAACGAAAATTTTGCTCATTTACAGTCCCACAGAGGTGAAAATGCGTCTCATCACTGCTGAAGAACGCTGTGTCGGGAGCAATCTGTTCAAGCATGTTCTCACACAGATTTCGGCGGCTGGCAAAGTCTGCTTCGTTCAATTGTTGGCCATCATCATTTTGTAGGAGGGATGGAAATGCAAATCCTATGCAGAATCCTTCTCAAACTGAGTGAGGAGATTCTCAAAGCAACGGCACGCCGTCGCGCAGAACGTCTTGGCGAGTGGATGACTGCTGTTCTCACCGTCTCGACATTTTCTGGTGTTCTGATGGACCTGCGTCGGCCATGTGTATCTCTTCTTAGTGTGCTACCAGTTGCCTCCAAATGCCTAACCCAGGACCGAATTGTGTTTGTCTGAGGAAGAGCATCATTGCGCGGAATATTGAACCGCCGCCGAAAAGCTCTTTGCGTTGCAATCACGGATTGATTGTTCTCGAAAAATGCGCGCACAGCAAAGCCACGATTTTCTCCTGACCACATCCCTGCGAGTACTGACTGCTCTAAATTGCTCAATCAGTTCTGCCCCACCCTGTAATAAAGTGTTATAAAGCCCTTATGATATACGTGAACATTTTGAGTTCATTCCAACATTCTGAGTTCAAAGATTCTATAATAATATAATATGATATAATATAATATATTATAATATAAAATATTATAAAATAATATAATAGGTACAAATATTTTCCTCTCTGGGTCTTTGTCCCAATAGCGTGGGTGCTACCATAGTTAAACTAATACAAGGTTGACATACGCACAGCTGCGCCTTGCGGATGTCATTTGTTATTCCACACGTGATGTCACCTTGGTCATTGTGACGTCACAAGGTGACGTCACCGTGTGATTCAAACTGATCTGTAACACATGTTCTGCTTAAATTAAAACTAGTTGCAGGAAATAAATTTTTTGTGCCATTCTAATGAGGAAATTTTTTTACATGGTTGAACTAATACAAGGTTTTCCCTAGTGCAGCTGCGCCTTGCGGATGTCATTTGTTATTCCAACTGTGACGTCACCTTGGCTAGTGTGACGTCACCTTAGCTCTTGTGACGTCTGTGACGTCAAACTGACGTCAAACTGATTTGTAAAACCGGTTTTGCTTAAAATAAGACCAGTTGCATGCAGTAAATAAATTTTCTCGGGCCATTTTTATGAGATAAATTATTTTAATGCTTCCAAAGACGAATTGAAAACAATGTGTTGATCTACGCTATTTACATTTTGTGCCCATAGTGGGTCACTCTAGAGAGATGCGCGAAACAGCGAAAAATCGTAATCGCCGTGGGTCAACCTTATATTAGTTCAACCATGGATGCTACGCCATCAGTGTTACGGGCAAAAGTGCGTCGATTTTAGCACAATGTGACTCATTCATTCTTCTGAGTGATTGTTAAGAACTAACGTCATAAGGGAAACAATTTTAAAATCCCGAATGAACTTTATCAGTCCTCTCTCATTTGTGGTATTTAAATTAATAAAGAATGTGAATATTTTGTCCTGAGAGTTAAGCACGTGCAGTTTTTTTCTAATTATGATGGGAAAAGACAACGTGCACATGTCAAAAATCCATGGAACTGAAACTACATCCCCTGGAAGAAGTGAAAGAAAGCAAGGTTATTGCAAATTATTCTGAAGTAAGGTTAATAAAAAATTTTTTGAAGCAAGTTTAATAAAAGTTTTTCTGAAGCATGGTTAATAAAACTTATTTTGAAGCAAATTTAATAAAAAATGTTTGAAGCAAGGTTAATACGAATTTTCCGAAACAAAGATAATAAAATTATTCTGAAGCAAGTTTAATAGAAAATTGTCTGAAGCAAGTATAATAAAAATTATTATGAAGAGTGGTTAATACAAATTATTCAGGGAGCAACTATTAATAAGGAATACATAAACGTTCAATTAGTCAGCAGTCCTCATAGTCAGTGGTCCAATCAGTCAGCGGTCCAGTCATCCAGTAGTTCGACTATTCAGAGGTCCGATTAGCTAGCGTCCCAATATATCGATACTTATTGCATTCATTTTCACCTCCCTGCTTGATCATTGCAGTGCAATTCACACAGGGAAAAAGCTGGAAGCTTTATTGCTTCAATAAAATTTTGACCATTCGCTGCCTAGCCAAGCTACGTGTTGCCGATGAGGCTATACAGGGGTTCGTTAAAGCTTTTAGGTTCTAATTTCTTGATAGCCTGTTGAAACATTTTTTGGTGATCATTTAGAAAAGCCAGTTGAACCACTTCCAGATGATTATTTCTGAGAAGAATATAACGTCTTCCGAAAAAATTTTGTACGCTGATTAATTCGCCGATATTTATGTCCCTCTCATTAACCATCTTTTTCACGGGGTCGAAATTGCAACAATTCATTGAATGCACAAAGTTGCGGCCAGATTTGATGTGCAGGCGCCGTTGCGCAGCCGCTTGGTGTTCGTGACGAGGAACGCGCACTGCCTTATGGTAGGCAGTGAAGGGTAGCCTGGTTCCAAGAGCGCATCGTTCGAGAGGAGCGTAGACCCGTCCCCCCAGGTCCAGCTTACTCCATTATAACTCAGATCAACCCAAGCCTCTGCACGAAAGAATATTTATTTGAATAAAAATAAGTGGAATTTTCAGATCAGCCCATGCAAGCCTCAGAGTGAAAAAATATCGTGAGTGAAAAACATGGGAAAACTTCAGATCAAAGTCTCATAAAGTTCTTGTAGGCCATGCAGTTCCGTTGAGATAACTCTATAATCTCTCAACGGAAACATCGAGTTGACGATATTTAAAAACAAAATCGCATAAAAAATTAAAAAATTATGGGTTCTATGATAAACTTACTGACAAGTCTCCCAAAGAACTGATAGCCAATAAGGTTGTTTCTGGAGTCGAGGAGTTTCAAGCGGTTTCTGGTGCACCGTATTTTGGCATCGCTTTGTGTGGTGAGGCGAGAGCTGTAGGCGTAGCAACTGCCCAGGGGACGGTACGGGAATATGTTCAAGCCATCCACTTGTCCTGCGGTGAAATATAGATCCCAATACAAAATAATCCTATTGGTACATCACATATTGTTCTATAGGAAAATATATAGTAAAAATGGGCTGAATGGAGATATGGATTTAGAACAAATTCAATGCTGAAAAAGTGCAAGCGGGAAGTTGTAGAAGTACATAAGAGAGAAGTTAGATCACTGTGCCCTGCCACATCTGTTATGATATATTTTGTGTAAGATTTCCTTTATGTATGTCATGGAAATTGAAAGAAATATCGCTTCTATGCAATTCCTGACAGTGGCCGACTTAAACCAGTATTAATGCTAGGTTAGGTAAAGTAAATATCAGAAAATGTTTTCGAAAAATCGAATTTGAAATTTGGAAATCGACAAAAGAACGCGTCCTAAATTGAATGTAACAAAACGTTTTTTCCATGGTACATTTCATGAATATAGTTTGATAGAAGCTGTTCCTTAATGCAAGTTTTGTAGTGGCTGAGAGATTGTTATAATCCCCATGAGATAATTAGGTGTAAAACTGTATTTTGTCGCATATTTAATACCGTAAATATGTACGGTTCTCGTGGACTCTGGCGATAGCCATATCAAATAGTCTAAATGAAAATAAAATGATCATCACTGTAAGCCAGTTAATCATTGCCAGTTTTGAAATCTATAAATCTGATATTTTTGTAATAGTTTTAAAATTTTGTAATAGCAGTTATTTCGTGTTAGTTAACTCTAGGATAGTTAGTGTTAGTTAACAGTTAACTCTAGGATAAAACTAAACTGACCCAGCCATCGTGGCAACATTCCGAACCACGCTCACTCCTACCGCGTAGTCCGCTACCCAGTCAAAATTAGAAGCAGTGTAGGAGCTGAGCCGGCGCTGAACCAAGAGCACGATAGAAGCATGAGGGAAGCAGGAATCCAGCAAGGATGTCCGCTTATTTAGGGGTTCAAAACGTTCTGCGCAAGGCCTTATTTGGGCGCTGGCGCTCGGCTGCAACGAATCAGTCCTGCCGGGCTCCGGCTCACTTACAGCCGACACGCCCCATACGCTGCCCTATACCTGCTCTCTCCATGCTTACTTTATTTTCTTTCGGGGATAACTAAAGAATTCTGTCCGCACAATTAAACGTTTATTATACTTTTTTACACATTTACATAACCTATGCAAAAAAGATGGATTGGCAGAAACGCCGCTTAGAGAATGATATACTACTGGCTTTATGCATCATACATACTCGCAATAATGAGCAATAACACATTTATGAACATTATTCTATATTCTGGTACAACTATTTCTGACAAAAATTCAGCAACATGTTAAGACACTGAATATACACACATCAATAATGCGAAGGGCAGAGCAAAGCGTAAAAATAGGATAAAAATAATTAATGCAGTAGTCCTCAATCATAAGTCATATTAACGAGATTAAATGATCGGATATCTCCTTCCTTAACCAAAAAATTCTCAAACCCATATTAACCGATGTAACAAAAATTATATCATTATATTTCGATGCAAGAACTAACATCAACGTAAGTTCAGCGTTACCTCAACCGTCCTACCTGTTAAAGTAATACGTTTCAACAGCTTCAACTTAATTTCTGAACCTAGATATGAAAAGGCTATGGCCGATTTGCATTTGGTATTTATATCAACACATTAATTGCAAATCGAGAAATCGTCATAAAAAAATAAACATGGCTGATATTGATAGTTTCGGATCAACAAGTGACCTAGCTGGATTGATTTTGAACAAATTAACCATCACTACATATACATTCATATATGATAGAAGAATGATTAATAAATTGAGTGAAATGCAATTTGCATTATTTTACGCGTCAACAGATGATAAACTGACATGCATTTCTAGTAAAACTAGTAGTCTTACCTTCACTGGACGATTGATTTTGATGCCATCAGTCCTACACTATAATCTGCTTCAGATCTTCGAACTAAGTTCGGCGGGAGCCCGCCCATCCACCAATACTTCCAAGTTCAAGTAATACCGTGATTACCGTCATTGTCAATTCTTACAGATAACATCTCCTTTCTAAGCATAATATATTTATCATGTAGTATATTAAGCATTGTGCATGTTCCCATCGTAAACAATGAACAACATTATGTATTATGCACTTGGTATCCACAGGCACTGCAACACGCCATGACGAAGAACGTCGTTTGTCATTCGGCTATTTTAAAGCATTTTCCCCTGGGCAGGGAAAAATTATGTTTCTCAAATTTCTAATGCAGTCTTTCAGAATTTCCTTAGCGAACTGAACAATTCATTAAAAAACTGTAAAAACTATTTGACGTATTTCCACACTTGGTAATTATTTTTAACTTATTGTCTGAACAAATCTTTAGAATATACTCCCGCATTCTGAAATTTTAGGGTGGATTTCAATTTTTTTACCCCAATTCCTTCTCAAATTACGACTTGCGCCATAATCGCTATTCTTTTGTTAATTAGAGAATTTATGACGAATAATAATATTCCGAGCACTATTTAGAAAATCAATTAGACTGAATTTATGTCAAAATATTTTTGATAAATATTTCTTATCAATATTTATAGTTTATAGCCTGTTACGAACTGTTTTATTTATTTCAGGAAATCAAACAGTTTTTCAGGAGGAAGATTGTTGATTGTACCTAGATGCAATATGGGATTTTATGCTAATCATTCTATATGGAATACCTCTCTTTACGTTACAATTCTTTTAAAAACTCATCTATTGCTTTTATATTCTTCGACAAGAAAGTTTTTTAATACATTTAGTCACCACCGTATAATATGACATACAAATCGTGAGCAAGATAAGATATGCTTCGCCATGGTTATGACGTATAGTTGCGATTTCAATAAACATAGTATACAAAACGTTTAGGTAAACTAGTTGTCAACATAGAAACTCATTCGCTCTCCCACTTCTTACCAAACCCCCAATTCACCCCTATTGATGTCCTGCTCTCACCCTGCCTCGACACGGACACGGACGGCGAGCCGTTGCCTATATATATGACGCTGTGAAATTCCAGCCAATATGCGGCTGCTCCCTGTCTCGATTTTTAACAAGGGACAGTTTCCTGAGATTCCTGCTGCAATGCTGCTGCTAAACTGTTCTTCTGCCGTGAACGGCGCAGAATGCGTCTCCGAAATTTAACTGGGTATATACTAACTTGTGCTGCTCGTGGTGTAAATATTTAAAGTGCCATTGGGTGAGTAAATAACCGTATAACCTTTGTAGACTAATGCCCAATGCAATGCTTATCTTTTCACTACTATATCAGGTATGTTCATGTATTATTGAGAGTTAGAAAACGTGTTCCATCAATTCTAGCTTAGGAGGCTAGTCTGCAACCTGGCCGATCTAGCTTAGCCCCTAGTTGAAAGGAAGGAAGATTAGGTGTAGAATATCACATATTCAAATTATTGCTTATCAAATGGGATAAATAGTGGGACGATTAATTCTTTATGTAACGCGAATTATTATTAATCAATTCCTCAATTAATGCAACCCGTGGGAGACTAATGTTCAACCGTTCACTACATCTTGACTAGAGTATGAATATTGTTATAATGTTGATTGAAATTTTATCCACGATAATGTAAACCTTAAATATTATGATGAATTAGATCATTTATTCCTCATTCCTCATAGTAGTTCCCGCATAATTACTAGGCTAGAAAATGAAGTAGGACGATGAAATAAAAATCGCGTATTAAAGCTTTAGGCAAATTTTAACTGTGAATAACTTTGATTTAGGATTAAATTTTGAATTGAAAATGTGAAGATGAATTTTGAAAGCTGTAATCCGTACCTTGATTGTTAGTTAAACTCCAAGTATTAAATAAATCTAATTTGAACCTTCTGATGAAATTAATTTGTGAATTAAATAAATTGTAAATTCACAGAACAATTGTAAATTCCTTGGCATAGAAATTAAACAGCGGAGTTAGGTTATGGTTATGCTTAGAATTTGCTTGATGAATTTAATTAGCCCCATGTCATGTTCTAATACTCGTTCCCAGGCCTATTTTGCACATGAAGATAAATAAACCATCCAAACCTTGAACTCGAACACCTCTCCATTATCCTACAATTAGGGAAGCTAGCTGCCAAACCAGTTCAATCGTCTATCATCAGATTCCCTCGCAATAACGCCATAAACCCTTAGTCACTACCTATATCCCCCTTAGTTTTGTCAAAGACCATACAATATCATAAAATAATGCTTACTAGAAACATTATGGATATAAAATGAAATTCCTCTTAGAAACGTTAATTTAGTACTTCACTAATTATTAAAGAAATTTAGTACTTATTCACTAATTATCTAGAAAACTAGCATTATTGGTTGAGTTTACATTGATAAATGTACTAAAAGATAAAAATTCAAAGCGAGATATTATTTGAAATAAATGTTTAATCTAGTTTAATGAAACAAAACAGCAGAGACAAACATTGACCTGCAGTAGGGTAAGACGGCAAACTCGATGGGGATCCGGCGTAGGATTCATCGGCGCAGTTCTTTACATCGAGGGTGAACGTCGAGCTACTGCAGAGCGGTACATCATAAGTAACAGTGGTATCCGTTGTCACTGGGTATTGAATGCTGACGTCATTCACGCTGATTTCAAAGCAGTACGCGTCAGGGCACGTGGCGGTGAAGTGAACATCGAAGGATTGGGCCAGATTTACGTTATCTACAGTGAACGAAGTAATATCTGGAACTGAAACAAATAATTTTCGGTTATCAAACCGAACGTATATAGACAATCTAGACAAGCTTTCCTACGTATATAGACAATCAACATGGTACTATATACATCTTGTTTGGACCTGGCCAGTTTGACTTCGAATTTGTCTACTCGTGCCATTATGACCAAGGGCCAGATATAGGTAGTGACCATTTTCCTATTTAATGCAAAATAGGAATTGAAATTGTTGAGTCTCCTGAAAAGACATCATTTCGGTGGAAACTTTATAGAGCTAACTGGCCACATTTTCAGTAACTCCTTGACGAGACAACTGTCCCTTCAGAGTATGACCATAGAGATGCTAATAGTGCCTATATTTCTCTGCCGAATTCCATAGTGAAATCTGTCTCTATGTCGGTGCCCCGCAGTTTTGGACAAAGACACTGTCTCTTCGCCACACCATGGTGGGATGGAGAATGCTATAAACTCTAAAGCAGTGGCAAGACGTAAAGCTAAGAGAAAATTATGGCGTTCCCCTACTCCATCAAATCTTGTTGAATACCAGCGGTGTGATGCTGCGGCTAGAAATCTCAAAATAAAAAAGCAGCGCTCCAACTGGATGGAGTATATATAAACACCATATGTCTTCATCAACAACCACCGGAGATGTTTGGGATAAAATACGTAGTATTCAGGGAAGGCCAATATGCAGTTTCTCCTACCCATTGGATAGTGTTGTGCACGATGATGATCTTTGCAAAGCTAAACTTTTCTCTAATCATTTACTACAGATGTTCCTACCACTGACATCAAGAAGGTGTGGCTGATGTTTTAGAGGTGTTTAAAGCCATAGCCAATCTCAAACAGTACAGCTGTGCACCTCTACAGTGGGTGAATTTTCTATAATTTTTTTCTCTAAAGCACTTAAAAATAGAGCTTCTGGTCATGACTCAATAATGAATATCTTCTTCACAAAGGCTACTTTGCGCTGCAAGTAGGAGCTTTTTGCACTTCTAAATACCAGCTGAATCTGTGGATTTGTTCCAGATGCATGGAAGCAAGGCATTATAATTCCTATACCAAATCAGGAAAACCTCAGGAACCGTTGACAGGATACCGCTCCATCACCCTTCCACCGTGCATGGGTAAACTCCTGGAGCGAATGGTTTTGCGCCATCTGGAGTACACTCTGGAAAGTAAAAGTGTTTTTCCCTTTCTACATCTAGGATTCTGTAAAGGCAAAAATACAATTGATGGCTTGCACTTATTGGAAAATGCCTTCACCACTGTTCGAACTGGTCATGAATGCTGTACAAAAATCTGGTGGAATTCATTTTAAATGTTAGTCATGAATAATCCGCTTTTCTGGCCGGTGTCAAGCCGAACCTGAAGAAGAATCATTGCCGCAAGAAAAATGCAGATTTCCTGCACCAGCCTAACCGCACGGTGCTCCCGCTTCACCTGTGTTTGCCTAGCAGTTTTTTAGAAGGCATACCTGCAGCATCTTACCTCGGCCGCGGTCCTGCTCTCCTCTTGATCTGGCGTTGTGGTGGCTCGACGAGAGCGTGGTTCCCCTACCTGGAGCTCAGACGTTCTCCTGCTCGGCAGTTGTGGTCACGGTGGTGCTACACTCCTGGAAGCTACACTCCTTGAAGCTGCGGAGACGTCAGAGGTGAGGCTTGATTCTTGGCCAGAACCTGCTTACCTCGCTCCTAGCCAATTTCTCAAAATTGGATGATCCTTTAGGACTGGACCGTTAATAATTTGTGAATTCCACCGATTTTTTGTTGAACACTGATATTAATTAGCAATGTACTATATTCAACCAATTCTCAAATTTGGGTTTGTTTACCGGCAGGTGTAAACCGTGTGAGGTTCGTGGTCAGCCATGGATGACCGAGCCAGCATTTGATCCATCCTTCGAACTTAAATAAAGCCTCTTCAGTTTCTAGTAGCAAATCCATTCTTATTTTCCTGATTCGTTGAAATTGGTTATGGTTGATAACTGAAGTCGAAAATTCAGTCATCTTCTATTAGAAATTTTATTCAATATTCATTATTTTGTATAAATGCTGCCTGGTTGTATACTTAGATATTGAAGGAGCCTTTGACAGTGTCTAGCCTGATGGATAGCTTTTTAAATTGCAACGCATTGGAGAAGGTGACCAAATGTTGCCTTGGTTGTACAAGTATCTTCAAAATCGGACTTTTCAAGTACAGGGTGGAGTTTCTAAATCGTTACTTGTGCCAACCCGTGAGAGAAGGAGTTCCACAAGAAGCTGTACTTTCTTAACCCTCTCTAATGTGATGCTTCATGACCTTCCACACTCTCCACATGTGACAAGGGTGAGGTATGCGGATGACATAACACTTTTCGTCAATGGTTCTTCCTTGGCTGAGGCTTCGCATCATATACAGCGGTGCTTTGATGAGATAAGCCAGTGATGCACTCACTGGCAGTTTCGGCTTAACCCTCCAAAGTGCTCGCATCAGGTATACACGTCACTCCGGACAGCCCCTGCTACCACACTTAAAGTCTGTAACAGGAATATTCAGTATGTAGCCTGCCAAAAAGTGTTGGGATTTCATTTTGACTCTCCACGCCTTAAATTTCGGGAACACGCCAGGATAACACGCAGTGCTTGTTTGAAACGAATGCAGGTGCTTCGTGCACTTGGCTCAGTGAAGTGGGGTGCCTCTCGGCGATTGTTGCGCAGAATATATGTGGCCTTCATAAGGAGCAAGATGGAGTATGGCTCAATAATTTTATGGGACATTTCCAATGTTTTGTAGAAACAACTTGAATCTGTTTATAACTATGCCCTCCGAGACATCCAGGGAGCCCGCCGTATTTCACCGATAGTGTCTCTGCAAGTTGAGAGCTTCATTGCACCTCGGAATCTGCGATCCTTATATCTGTCCATTAAATGGGTCATAAGGTATTTGTACATGCCTGAAGGTGACCAAGTATCGACCAAACTAGGACTCGCTGACCAAGGACTTCATGGTGACGCACCGTTTGCTATCAGAGCTCATGAAAGCTTCCGCAAGCTGGGCCTTTCACTCCATCGGCGTGCTGCGACTCCCTTGATAAGTCCAGTTCCTCCACAAGTGGATCTCACTGCAAACATTCTTCTCAACTTGCAAGACAATCCCTTAATTAATATGCCGCATCAACTTATTGCAGAATTTCTTTAATAGCTTTCTCCTGGAACACTATCCAAGACATATCCAAATTTATACAGATGACTCGAAGTCTGAAGATAGAATAGAATAGAAGTGTCGGCACTGAAGAAATAGGCCCATGGCCTGTTGATGGTGGGTCTGTTTCGGCTGAACTTTCTGTTCCATCAACCCAGTTGGTAACTGGTTGGTTGCTCCGGCGAGAGCACACGGTTCTTGATGCAGAGTTGTTTGCAATACAAAGACCATGCAACTTGCAACCGAGAATGGATCTCTGAAAGGAGAGCCCGTCCATATTCTAACAGATTCAAGGTCTGCTTTGCAGCTGTTATCCCACTCATTTGGGCACTCATACCGCACAGTTATCTTAGAAATACAGAGGTTGATGCTGGTGAAGGGACTTGACAGGGTACTGCTCTGCTGGATCAGAGGCCACAGTCTTAGTTGTGAAAATGAGGCGGCAGACAGGATAGCAATACATTCAAACAACCGTTCAGCAAGATCTCAGCTGTATTTTGAGGAGTGAATCTATTCCATGAAGTCTCTCCCGGTACTAGAATGGACACGCCAATGGGCAGCTGACGTGCTAAAGACAGGCAAGGGAACCTTCAGAAGAAATTTGGGACCTGAAATAGCCTTTGTTGATTATGGAGTGCTGCCACGCTCAGTTGAGTGCGCTTTGTCAACCTGCGTCTGAGACATGCTGGTGTCAATGCTCATTTAGCGAGATTCAACTTGGCCAATTCAAGTAACTGTTTAGTATGCAATGTGGAGGACACAATTGAACATTTAATTCTACTCTACATACATTTCTCCAACCAACGAAGGGATTTCCGCTCAAGACTAGACGGCCATTCACTTCAGTGGGATCTTTTCTCTGCTCTCGGCGGTGGAGACGCCCCAATGAGAGGAGCAGCACTGCTGCCATCCGTCATCTGGGCAGTATTTGCTCAGCTTCAATATGGTGATCAGGCTATGAAAGGCTTCAAAGTCTAATTATACTTCTTTTCTTTACAATTTAATGCCGCACCGGCTGGTGAAAGTGCTAAAAGTAAATGAATATAAAAGTGGAATGATCCAAAAGAGAAACCAACAAGTGAAATGGAGTGACCAAAATCCCAGTTTTGCTCAGGCTGGGAGGTATGCTACCCGCATACCCGAAACCTTCAAATCACATAAGAAAATAATACAGTCCAACGCCAGAAACCGCATTTCTACCCTTTTGAGTGTATTACGTAGTATTAAAAAATTACCAGTTGCTAGAGGCAGGCTAACATATATTAACAGTAGTCAAGTCGATTTCTTTGCCGTCGACACTGTAGTAACCAAGAACTTTGCAACGACACGAATTATGGTAGTGACAAAGAGCTCTATAGTGACACCAATTACTGCAGATAGCACATAACTTCATGACATTAGTGTCCGAAACGACAAAGAATTTCCAGACGCCTTAAGTTGCGTAGAGATGAAGAGCTTCACAATGCAACGAATTGCCGTTGTTACAAAGAGCTTAGCGACGACGTCGATTACCGCATTGGCAAACAACTTCGGCACGCTCTCTATTTCCGTATCAACGTACGTTTTAACACTGAAAACATATCGTATTATAGAAGAAATTTTCGAAGACGTCAATTACCGAAATAACAAAGAACTTAATGAGTACGCAAATTATCGTAGTGACGTCGATTACAGGAGCGACAAAGAGCTTCACGACGCCGAAAATTTCCTCATTGACAATGAAATTTAAGAGGTCGTCAGTTACCGTAATGGCGAAGGAATTTATGCCATCTTCAGTTGACGTAGCGACAAAATTATCACGACCGTTACAATTACTTTATCGTCGAAGAAATTAACGGCGCCACCAGTTACCGTTACGCAAAAAACGTCACGACGATGTCAATTACAGTTGCAAAAAAACCTTCGCAAGCCTGTCAATTGAAGTAGCGGCGAAGCAATTCATGACGCCATATATTATCTTAGTGACAAAGAACTTTACGACGACGCTAAGTACTAGTGCTGAAAAACACTACACGGCAACGTAACTGACGGGCTTCTAACTTGAAACCTTTAACTGTTTGCAGCTAGTCATACCTTGGTCATATAATATCTGCATACATGGAATTTAGTGTTATTCTCTCCATCTAGCAAAAGGAATAAAAATTGTCATGTTGGATGAACTATTAATGAAAAATTTAGACAATAAAGAAGTTGCAATTGATTACATTATGTATCATAAATAATGAACGTTACCTGGATCTGTGATGTACGGCAAGTCCGTTGAGTATCCGGCGTCGGTTTCATCGGCGCAGTTCTTGGCATGGAGGGTGAACGTCAAGTCAGTGCAGGGCGGTACATCAATGGTTTCTCTGTGTATTGTTTGTGAGTTCCATCTACAGTTAAAGCCCAATAATATGTTATTTATATCACAAGAATTATTTAGGGGGATCGTTTAATCGGTTATTGAAGCTCATGACATTTCAACCATTGCATGCTTTTATATTTTGTTGTTAGATTATGCTTCAAATTTAACTTTAAATCTATATGATCACCATCACGCATCTATTCTAATGGAACTTGTACTTGTATACTGGCATTCGTCTGCTCTTGAATCCTGTACTGTTCGTCTATACGTGTTCGTTTGATAAGTTAACTTCAAATCTGTGGTATCCGTTGTCACTGGGTATTGAATGCTGACATTATTCTCGCTGATACCATAGCAGTATGCGTCAGGGCATACGGCGGTGAAGTGAACATCGAAGGATTGGTGCAGATTTACGTTGTCTACAGTGAACGAAGTAATATCCGGAACTGAAACAGATAATTTTTGGTTAGCAAACAATTCTGTTTTAGATTATTCAATGACATTCATATGCATCTTAAATGAAACGCATAAGGCACGTGCACTCTACAGCACTTGTTTGATTAGTGTGGGCGAAGTTGTACGCTGAACGATGATGACATGAACGATTATATGCACTGTAGGAATGTAATGTTGAGTGAGATTTGATTTTGTCGATTATTTTTCATGAAAATATAGCAAATAAGAAATTTATATCGGCAACAAATTGCGAAAATTATAATCAGAAACTGATGGGAAACATGGAGTTATTCGTCTTCTTGTGATTTCCAAGTTCATGTTGCACATTTGCGGAAATTTTTATGCAAATTTACATTCTGTGAGGTATTTACGATTCAATAGAATGATAACACGTAGTAATTTTCCTTAAAGAAAGATGTCGTCACAGAAACTTTGAGCAACGGACATTCAGTCCAACGTCAGAAAACGAATTTCTACAATTTTTAAGTTCTAAATTGGTATAACATAATTATCAGTTTTTAGGGGCAGGCTAACATAACATATATTCTAACAGCAGTCATTTTGATTTCCTTGCCGCCAACATTGTAGTTACCAAGAATTACAACGACAAATATTACCGTATTGACAAAGAACTTCAAGGTCGACACAAATTATCGTAGTGACAAAGAGCTCTACGGTGACACCAATTACTGCAGAAAGCACGTAACTTCACGATAACACCAGTGATCGAAGCGACAGAGAATTTCCAGACGCCTCAAGTTGCGTAGCGATGACGAGCCTCAGGATGCCACGAATTGCCGTAGCAACAAAGAGCTTAACGACGACGTCGATTACCCTATTGGCAATTAACTTCGGCACGCTTTCTATTTCCGTATCAACTTACGCTTCCAACGCTGAAAATTGTCGTATTAGCGAAGAAATTTGTGGAGACGTCAATTACTGAAACGACAAATAAATTAATGAGTACGCAAAGTATCGTAGGGACAAAGAACTTCACACTGACGTCAATTACAGAAGCGACCAAGAGCTTTAGGACGATGGAAATTGCCTCATTGACAAAGAAATTTAGGAGGCCGTCAGTTACCGTACTGACAGAGAACTTACGACGCACACAATTACTGTCATGACGGAGAAATTTACGACGCATCAATTACCGAAGTGGCGAGAGAATTGATGCCATCCAGAGTTGTAGTAGCGACGAAAATCATCACGACATTTACAATCACTTTATCGTCGATGGAATTCACGCGGCACCACCAGTTACCGTTGCGTAAAAAACATCACGACGACACGACGTCAATTACAGTTGAAAAAATAAACTTTGCAAGCCTGTCAATTGAAATAGCGGTGAAGCCCTTCATGACACCGTCAATTACAATTGCGAAAAAGAACTTTACGAAGATGTCAAATGCCAAGGTTGAAAAAGATTACACGTCAACGTAACAGACGTGCTTCCAGCTTCAAGCCTTTTACTATTTGCAGCTTTTGATACCTTGATCATATAATATCTGCATTCATGGATTTGGTGTTATTCTCTCCATCTAGCAAATAGAAGAAAAATTGTCATCTTGGATCAATTATTAATGAAAAATTTAGTTGAATGAAAAGTTGCAATTACATAACTTATCATAAATAATGAACGCTACCTGGATCTGTGTGATACGGCCACAAGCTCGTTGAGTATCCGGTGTCGGATTCATCGGTGCAGTTCTTGGCATAGAGGGTGAACGTCAAGTCAGTGCAGGGCGGTACATCATAAGTAACAGTGGTATCCGTTGTCACTGGGTATTGAATGCTGACGTCATTCACGCTGATACCATAGCAGTATGCGTCAGGGCATACGGCAGTGAAGTACAAATCGAAGGATTGGTGCAGATATACGTTATCAACAGTGAACGAAGAAATATCCGGAACTGAAACAAATAATTTCCGGTTATTATCTAAATTTCACGAATAAACATCAACGAATTTTCATGTTCTGCTGAATCATAAATGTTTAGATGAAAGTAAAAATATATTTCGAGAACAAACACACTCATGAGGACAGCACAAACACACTCATGAGGACAGCACAACACACTCATGAGGACAGCACAAACACACTCATGAGGACAGCACAACACACTCATGAAGACAGCACAAACACATTCATGAGGACAGCACAACACACTCATGAGGACAGCACAAACACACTCATGAGGACAGCACAAACACATTCACGCCAAACTGGGCCGAAATAACCCACACAAAGGCACAAAATGCAGCGCTATTAGGACTAAATATCACTCAGAATTAAATTAAATAAATTTCGGACAATATTATCAAAATTCAGAAAAAACTACGATTTTTTCCTAGCTGTATCCAAAAACTTCTAAATATACGTGGCTGAACATTTCTTGCAGTAAATTCAAAGCTCACCTTAAACTTAACTTCTTAAGTTTAAGAGTTTAAGTTTAACTTTGATCCTAAACTTCTTTGCCTTTCCAACAACTCCCCCGTAGGATGGGGTGAGAGTGAACGTCATTGTTGTGCAGGGTTGTACGTTGTACGGAATTATGTCACCGGAGTGAACAACCCCCAAGTTCGTCTTTTTCCCGACTTTGAGGCTGAAAGTGAAGTATGCTGAACAGGCAGCGATGTATTGCACCTTGAAGTTTTGTCCAAGGTGGAAGTCAGTGATCCAGAAGTTGTTTATCACAGCAGCTATATGAAACAAAGAGTTATAAGTATTATTTTCATATAAAAGTCAAATTTCTATAACTGGTAAGAAGCCTACAAACGTACATTTATTTCCAAAAAACTAAACTCGACTGCATATCAATGATTAAGGTAGAATTTGTGGATGATTTTCTAAGATTACATTAGACTTTATCGTTAAGTTTATTATTAAGAAATTATACATATCTCCAATTAAGTTTGAGATTAAACTAATAACACGGCAGAGAAGTCAAGTGGGTGAAATTAAAAGCCCCCAGAAATTTAAACAGTGTGCTGCGGGTTTGATCCGAGCTAGCTACAAAAATTAAAGCAAAAATTTGAATGATGGCCGAATGGTTGAAAATCAACTTTGATGCAGTGAACTACGGGTTCAAATGCCTAGCTGGCTATACAAATTCTGCGATGTGTAGAGTCATTGTAATGCAAAATTTAGCCCATTTTACGCCCAAACTGTAATTAATAATATTATTAGTATTATTATTACTAATTCCAGGGTTGAAGTTAACAAAGGTTAACTAAATGAGGTTGGCACGAATGATCTTCCCTAATTGAACGCTCTTCGTCTGGAATTAGCTGGAGATGGGAGCAATTTTTAGTTTTCTTGTATAATAACCGTTTTTTCTGTATGTGGTTGAATTTTTTTGTAGAAATAAATTTTATGAAATAATATGTATATTAGTTGTAATGTGACCTTTATACGCTCACCTGGTAACGTGAATGCCTTGACCTTGACGCTTGAGGAGAAAATGTTCACGCTGGGATTGGGTGCGGGATTGAAGGTCGGGGCCGGCCACAGGTTAGATGCGTAGCATATATTGTCGGGGTCAAAGTAGTACGAATTGTGCGCTGGGACATCAAACATGAGGTAGTATGAGCAGGGGAACAAATTGTACGCTGTGGCATGAAACATGAGGTAGTATGAGCAGGGGAACAAATTGTACGCTGTGGCATGAAACATGAGGTAGTATGAGCAGGGGAACAAATTGTACGCTGTGGCATCAAACATAAAGTATAATGGGGTATAGTATAAGTAGTTTAAAATCAACATATTTCCGAGGGCTTTGATATCAAGAATGTCAAGGGTTTTGATAGCAAGTATTTATTGGTTTCTGATTTAAAAACATTCAGGGTATCTTCACATTTTTTACCTATTTTGGAAAACCTTCAATTTTTAAATTATGAAAACACTTCATAAGAAATATCAATTTAATAACTTTTTTTACGGAATGATGCTACTTCTTGTTGTTAGATTTAGAGTTCAATAAACATGTACCGAGAAAAGGGTCGCATTCACATTTTAATAGAAACCAAGTCCTTATCGTACTCAACAATTATTTTACTAATTTACATCTCATGCATTCATTTACCAATTTACTAAATTTCATTACTTTTTATTAAATGGAAGAAGGACTTTTGAAGTATTATGTTCACTATATCAATATATTAGAAGTTAGTCTATATACTATTTGCGATACCATATTTTCAATAATAATAATGACATCATTCCACATATTCCTGGGCAGAAACAATTTACTCAGCACCTGCAGGCACCCCATCTACTCAGCACCTGCAGGGACCCCATCTACTCAGCACCTGCAGGGACCCCATCTACTCNGTTGAACTCAGCCTGGGACGCCGAGTTGAACTCAGCCTGGGACGCCGAGTTGAACTCAGCCTGGGACGCCGAGTTGAACTCAGCCTGGGACGTCGAGTTCAACTGAAAAAGGGACGCTGGGTTTAACTCAACACACAAAAAACAAGTGAGACTTCGTCCAAATCGAGACGCACTTCTTAGCCTCGTGCACAAATTCTGACCGAGTGTGGCCAGATAGAAAAAGTGCATTTCATTGCTTCGTACGATCTGTTTCCGTGTTGTGGATAAGTAAATGTGTCAGTATGTGGTCAATATGACCTCTCTACTTCACTGAGTGAATGGTGGGCTCTGTCAACGGTATCGATATCAGGAAAATATCGATATCATGAAAATATCGATATCAGAAAATATCGATATCAGAAAAATATAGATATCGAGAAAATATTGATAACAGGAAAATATCGACATCGGAAAATATCGTCATCGGAAAATATCGATATCAGAAAAATATAGGTATCAAGACAATTTCGATATCAGGAAATTAGTAATTCCGGAGAAATATTTATATCAGGATAATATCATTATCAAGAAAATGCCAATATCAGGAAAATATCTATTATAGAAAATTATCGAAATCAGGAAAATATTGATTTCTGGAGATTGTCAATATCAGGAAAATATCGATTTCAGGAAAATATTTGTTCATCGTATTATAGATTTGGCAGATGAAGTACATTCTAAATTATGTAGATGTATAGGGTAACATGGGGCAGCGAGCCCACTGCGGGTCACGGGCCCATAGCGGGTTTCTCGCTAAGTATGGCAGATATTGGTCCGTGTTCTCTACCGGCGGTCGACAGTTTCACTGGGATGAAGTGTACGGATTTACGTTTTGCTAAGTGTTTGCGTTATTAAGTTATTTGTGAATAACTGTTTTAGCCCAGATGAAAGTTTTCCGCTATATAAAACTGTTTTCGATTACTATAGATGAAGCTTTTGAAATTACCGTGAAATATATTTCGAAAGTAATATTTATAGGGATAATTTTGATATCAAGTTTAGACTATAAGCTTTTAAAATAAAATGTTGACACGATATAAATTGAAAGGATACCTAGTGGGGCAACGGGCCCACGCGTGTCGCGGGGCAAAGCACCCATGATGAAGTCTTGTGTTATACATCATTAGATTTGTCTCATTGACATTTTCAAAACTATGTCTAGCTTTTTGAATTACAAATTACACTTCACATTGCATGATTTTTCGACTTGCCGCCTCAAGGCAGCAGGTTTAGTTTCTAGTTATGCGTATTTATGACCCCTTATCGAGTTCTTGACTCTTGCCTTGCCAAAAGTTGATTTCAGTCAACACCAATGAGCCAAAAGTTGATGAGTTTTCATGGTGTTGGCTGAAATCACGATTAGGTACGAATTCTCTGCACATAATATCTGAATTATGGACGAAACTGGAACGAAGTTTTTTTCTGATCAACAAAATATATTTTTTCTAGTCAAGTATACATTTTTCATGTCAAGGACGAATTTTTTATCGCAAGGATATACTTTTCAAGTCAAGGATATATATATATATTTTTATATCAATGAAATATTTTTTTCGCGTCAGTGATAGATTTTTTAAGCCAAGAGTATATTATTTTCAAGTTAAGGATAAGATTTTTCGAGTTGTTAATAAATGAATGAATGTAATTTTTTTATTACATTTTTCTTATTTTTACCTGTAAAGCGTTGTTTTATTATTTTTATGCAATGAAAAATATGCAATTGTGGTAAAGGGACCAAGGGTGGGCGCCTTGCCCCAAGCCCATGGGCCCATTGCCTCAGGGGTGGGGCAATGAGCCCATTTTGACACTTTTTACATAATAATGTTTCATTAAAAATTGAATATAATCATCTAATTCACATCATACATTCCTCATTAGTTGTACCTTAAAACAGAACAAAGAACCACCTCGTATCTATTAAAACTTCATCAAAAATTTAGTTTAAAAAAAAGGGGGGCGCTGCCCCATGTTACCCTACTAGTAGTAAATAATAAATAGGTCCCACAGCTACCAAAATTTAGAGAATCTGCCATATCTGTGTGCTGCATAGCATCGAAGAAAAAATGTGTTTTCAGTATAAATTATTAACTGATAAACATGAATTAGTTTCATTCTAAATTTCATAAATATATAAAACTAATCACAACTTTTCTCAATAAAAACGATGAATAGATACAAAAATTTATTACTCCGAATGAGTTAACACAAAGAAAAGAGTAAACACACGATTCTTTTTCTATTCGGGCATTATGGAAAAAACTTCCATGCATGTAGGGATTTGCTCCCCAAAAAATGCACGTTTCCCAGGACAAAAATTTTGATGGTTATTTTTTATTTTTTTTTCAAATTAAAATTATAGATTCTCGAATGCATGTAAAAATTCTGTTATATCTTCTCCGTTAATTTATTCACATCTCAATAAAATAGGCTCCGATTTATAATATATTATTTATTTCTATACCAAATTATTGATAATGAAAAAGGAAACAAACTCAGATATTCGCTGTGCATAACACATTATTTTTCTTCTTCAATAATATTATGTTTGTCTTTATGTATTAAATGAGCAGTACGAGCATAATTTATTTGTGAAATAAGTCGTATTTTAGGTTATATATATTTAGGTAATTATCCTAGTAGATTTATATACTGAATAATTAGAATTTAGCAATAATTTATTTACTGAATAATTAATTTTCAGTGATAATTCACATACTAAATTATAAATATTCAGTAATAATTTAAATGCTGTATTATCGCCATTCAGTAATAATTTATATACTGAGTAAAATTACTAACTATTTACTAATTAATGAGTTATTAGTGAAGTAGAAATTGAAGTAGCACTTGCGGTAGCATTAGTGGCACTACTTGTAGTAGTATTACTAATGGTATTAAAAGAAGTAGAAGTAGTAGCACAGTAGCAGGTAGACTACTTACCACGAAGAGCACCAGGGCCAATAGTATCCTCATCATGGCGCTGAAAACTATATAAACTATATAACTGAATGACTTAGCGAGTCTATTCCACTTTCCACTGAAAAGATCGTACATAGGCCAATATTCATATAGAGAATTTTTAAGGTTTTAAAACAAAACATAAATATAACAGTTATACTATAATATAACAACATTAATAATGTAATATAACAGTTAAATTTCACGCGTAAAATGAAAAAAGATCCTATTTTCGTACATGCACAAGCGTGGCCTGGGACTGCTACATCTGGTACCACAACAAAGGGACAGACAACCGTCATATAGCTTGGGAAAGGAGAAATATTTAGAATATTCGATGGTTATAATGGTTTTACTTTCATGTAATTTCTTAATAATGAAGTTTGCTGAAAACTTACGCTTGAGGGATCAAGATTTCAACATGGCAGTGCATCCCGGTTTAAATAATATAACTAATTACAATTATTTTGTTTTAGTTATTTAGATTATTTAAAATATATTTCAAATAATTATATTATAATTACCAGATAATTATATTTTATAATTTTTCGACGCTTAAAAGTAATTAAAGTAACATCAAACAGTAACAACGTGGCGTTCAATGTTACTTAAAAATTACGAAAGACGGAGCCGCCCAAATTCCATCGTTAAATGACAGTGGTAACATTAATTAATAAATTAATTGTAGTATACAGCTATAGAGAATAAAAATTAAATATTTAACTGTTGAGAATTTTATTGCAAATTTTTTAATTTTAGATTTGAAATAATAATTAAGTAATGCAGACATAACAGACAGAAATTTTACATGGATATTTTATTAGCAAAATGATGTTTCAAGACACAATGAAATTTCGGGGAGGAAATTGAAGTCTTCCGCTGAAACTTCAGCAGCCGGAGCGCAATTATGCCTGCGAGTGTCCCAGACATTTTTATTTTCCGCGATCAAGCCATTTTCGAATGAGCTTTCACAGAAAAGGTTTATATATTAATTAAATCCTTGTGCACTTTTTTACAAAGGCAATCTTTCACTTAAGCCTTTTTTCGTATATAAATTTTTCACATAAACACTTTTTCACAAAAAAATTTTTAACAAAAACACTTTTTTCGCAAAAACATTTTTCACAGAAACACTTTTTCACAAAAGCATTTTTTCACAGAGGCACTCATTGTACATATGCGGGTCATATTAACACAGTTTGGCCCCGCAAAGATGCGTATGACGAATAAAGAGTGACTGAATGAATAGA